GTATAGTTTCTATTACACTCTGGTAACAGTGAGCTCAGGATTGTATTTTTTCGCTTTTCACAAACATTTAAAAAAGATTTTCAAGGCGAAGACAATCTAAAACTCTCAGTAGTATAGCCAACTAGTTTGTTGTTCATATTTCAATTCATACAAATTGGCAAATTCTTATCTGTAATAATTGTGGCCAACAGTAGTAAAGCAAATACCTCATAAGTCGTAAAAAGTGAGTTCAGCTTCACGATAGGCATAAATTGGTTCGCGGTAGAAATAGGTCAGCTATGAGGATTATTCATTTATCTCTTACAAATTCTGTTCTTCTATCCAGTGCATGAATGAAATGAGAAGTTTGAAATGGACAGGAATGGAGTACATTTACAATAGAAGAATTTGAGATATACCAGAGTCTTTCCTTCGATTTCCAACATATAACATTGATTAAGATAAATTCTTGATACCAATCTTTGTAGTTTGTCTTGAAGATTTTAGTTCGCTTGAAGTTTAAAATGAGGTTTTTTTGTAATTTGAGCTGAATCTTAGATTCATACAAGTAGAACTGAATGGTTAAGATATACATGTAGTTGAGTGTTTGGCTCCTTAAAGAAAGCATCATTCATTGTGTCCTTTTGTCTAGATAATCAATGACCTATAACATGTGGGCCCTAATGTTTCAATCATAAAAAGTGTAACCACATCTTTATTTTTGATCATTGGTCACTGAAGGGAAGAAAGTAGATTCCGGTGAGATTAAACCAGGCAGGTGTGTGGACTAGATCTTAGTGTGCATCATCTAGGGCAGTCTTTAAGGATTATAAAATAACAATGATATACATGCTCCGTGTCTTGGTAACTAAGACCTTCTGGCCTTGATCTTTGAAGTAAGCAACATCATCTATTGCTGATTAGCAATTGGTTCCACTACCTAGGACGTGGTCCTGGAAGCTGTACACCTCCCTCAAGGTTCTTCTACCTTTGGACGCAGTCTTGAAAGTTGAGCTACTTCAAATCCCAGTTGATCGCATCTAATCCTAGACGTGTCCGAAAATCTAAACTATACTCACCATGTTGTTTTTAGATGATCTTGTCTTGATAAGATTTGATTTTACAGCATGGATTATATCTTGAGTGTCTACCATTCTCACGGAATTGGATACACATTACAAGTTCAAAGTCTTCGAATAATTTATTGATAAAATGTGTAGAAGATAATCTACAGTAACACAGGCCTTTTGCTTTCTGAATTTAAGGTTAGTCACTACACTTGACTATCTGGTGTTTACATGTTTGTTTCTGAAAGAAATCCGGTCTCAGTTACAGAAAACTCTTATTTTAGAACCGAAATTAACTTCTTTCTACAAGACAAACTAAACAGATAGATATCGAAGATTTATCTTTGTAATTGTTGTATGAAGGAACATCTAAGGACTGATCCTGATCTGTCACAATTTCTTCTAGTGGAAAGGTACTCTCTTCCTTTTTATTTTAAACTTCTCTCTTCCTTCATTCATGAATAGAAAGACAGCAGGAGGTATGGTTACATGGATAAATAATGTACATTATCTAAGCCTATAATTGTAGGGACGTATAGGCTGACTATAGATCAGTTGTCTGAAGATCTCATAGTGTGAAACTATGAGTAACAACATGCTTTTTAGGTTTTGTTTTAATATTTCGTTTGATATGTAGAATCGGCATGTACCGCTTTCACTTTGCAAAAGTTTTTAATTTTGGCCTAAAGCGTTCTGACTGGAGAGTACTCGTCGTTATCATAGATCTGTAATAGAAAAGAACCCACCCATCCACTTCAAAGTTCTGTGTTCCCTACTCGTCACACACTCGTCCCCACATAATGCTTCATAGAAGCCCTGAGCAGCATCATCTGTTTATTAGCAAACTATAAAGTTGCCCACTAGCGACGGATACACCTAACTGTACTGAATAGAATAAAGTTATATTTATATAATGGTTTTTTTTTCAGGGTAAAGAACGATATAGAAAGGCCTGTGTTAATTTACTGTGATAAATGATGGTTAACTATATACATGGGAGGGTGAAATACTAACTAATAATTTCAAGGTCAACAATGGAGGCCTAGTCGTTCTGTCGCCCGTCTCTTAAAAGCAGACGCAAAGGCGTTCAGTCGTCCATGGACAAAAGAAAAGCACGCCCCACCACCAAAAAAGCAGACTTTGCCCCTTCCCCCCAGTTTCCAATTTCCATCACCAAGTCAAGACATATATTTGGTTGAAACAACCTGTTATAACATTTGTCGGCAACTTGTAACTTTTGAGACGCTCAAAATATCTTCAAAAATTCTCACTGTTTAGAATCCAATTCGGATTTTTATCCACATTAAAGGGGCAGTGCATTTTGGCTCGTTTTGAACTGCTAAAGCGCCACGGACCTTTACGAAGCCCCTTTAATCTGTTATCATGATCATCGATGGGTAACTGTTATACATAGCACGGTGCATATATAAATGCAATGGAGGCTTAATCGTTCTGTCGATCGTCTCGTAAAAGCAGAGGCGTTCAGCCATCTACCAATGGACAAAAGCCTAAATAGCATTTCAATAGGTTCTTGTAAAAACGCCATGCTATGTCAACACTACGTAATGTTCATGACCCGTGTCAATTTCAGGAGTGGGCCTACTCAGAAGCGTTTAACGCGGCGTGAAAACGCAACGTAAATCGCGTATGTGACGAGTCTTTATACGTAAACTTCGAAATGGTTTTCAGGGCTATTCCTAAGCGTAATCCAATAGATATTAGCCAAGGAAATCGCAATCAAAATATCACGTGAGCGTATTAATTTGACACGTCAAGTTTCATTTAATCGATATAGAATTGATTCTTTTGAGTGGCAGCAAGTGGCAAATTGTTGTGTTAAGACAGTTATATATTTGCAGACAGACAGGGGCGACGGATATATAGGGTTTATCCTTGGGTGATTACAAACATTCACACCAAGTTTCGTCAATATCAACCAAGAAACCAGTTCTCTATCGTGTCCACAAACAATTCAAGAACAAGGGCAATAACTCATAGTAAATATTTTTCGTTTCGTCTGATTTTCAATAGGGTTCAATCTTGGGTGGTAACAAACACTCACACCAAGTTTCGTTAAAATCCATCAAGAAACCAGCTCTCTATCGTGTTCATAAACAATTGTAGACAGACAGACGGCTATATACTCCCACATTAATGTGTGGGCTTATAAAAACTAAAATGAGGACCATGCCATGACTTTTCACTGTCTCTAGGAAGGGTGCCTCCGCCTAAACTCATGTGGACATAATAAAACTTTTTTTAGGCAATGCCCACCCCGCCGCCACTCTGGAAAAATGTAACTAAACATCATTGTCCCTTTGGATATATTGAACATTGAAGTCTGGCTACGGGCCTGGAAATAACCCAGTGTTAAAAAAAATATAGAGCTTCATTGTGAGTAGTTAACCTAAATATTGTATCAGGATTACACATGGAAAGACTTTCACGTTTGCGTTTATTAATAGGCTATAGGCATGGCTTACAGCTATGTTTATAGGCTACTAACTTGTAGTGGTTCAAGGGAGATAACTCAATGATAAAGGCTAACACGACTCGTCTGTTGTGCAATTTGTTAGAATTTGTTAATATTCACATGACTTAAAAAAAAAAAATAAAAATCCATTTTGGAAATATTTAGCATCAGAATGATCCGATAAATGTATCAATATTTTGGTACACTCGGTGAGTTCATAATTTTTTCTTGACCAGTTTTAAGGATATTTAATTTCCATTACGTCGACTTGCGCTATTTGTGTCTAACTTGGCCAATCTTCTTTTTTCAAATTAGTAAGAGGCTTGCATCCTTTAAAATGCCACTATCAAATTATTTTACCACCCCTTCTTGTACCACTGCTATCTTTATGCGAATTGATAACGTGAGTAAACTGTTATCTTATCATTAAGATACAATAGGTGACCCAGGCTGCTGAAGATATATGAATTTGTCATTTGATATATATGTCATGTGACTTTATATGTAGCTTTCTTTACTGCTCTATTTTTACTACAGATAAATACAGCACTACATTACTAGGTATAGTGGGAAATTTCATTGATCAACTAGTGGGGTTTAACGTAAGTATCTTATAAATTCCTTGTGCTATGCTTACTTATGAGGCTATTTTTGAGACCGGATAGTTAAAAGCAACATATAATAATGTCCAGTCCTTTTGATGCCCCTACAGTTTATAAATTCTGTAAGCATAATATGTTTAATGTCTTAGTGGAATTATCTGCGAGCGTCTATGCGAGAATTAAGATTTTTTGGTAGCCGTGGTGGCTCTCTTACTCGCTTACGTTTCTTATAATCATATATCGCTGAGCTAATGCATCAATGCAAATTTAGGAAAAGTATGTTTTTTCTACCTAAGCTCAATATATATGTAAAATCATGAAGATGTATAATAAAATGAAAATATTTAGTACAGAATTGTGTAATAGAGGCATTTGGACTTTGTTTGGTGACCCAATTTGATACCGTCTGTTGCATGAGTTATTTGGACCAACGCCAAATTTTATTTTTTTCATGTAATATTCTATTATGTTTCTCTTTTCACATACTAAGACATTAGCATTTACATAATTTCCGAATTTTGAGACACGTCGTGACAGAAATAGATCACTAACTTTTAAACATTACATATAGATTTTCAAACTTAAGAAGGAATAGTAGATATTCATATTAGTCTTTGGTCCTACCCATAGTGTCATAACTATAAAACAGAATCCCTTTTTAATCCTATAATTCCAATTGGCTAAGTTTGAGTTGAAGTTAAATTGTATGTGTGTGATTGGTATATTTTAAATCAGTTATCAATATTATCAGAATAATTACATTATATTCATTCTACCTTATTGGACACGTACAACTTAACTAGATAATATGAATATATAGACCCCAGTTCCCTGTGCTATGTTGCGTTACCATAGTGGTCTACCTTTACACTGGGCATTATGACGTGAGTGTATCACAGTATCTTTTAGCTTGAAAAAGTACATCGTCAGTGTATTTTATCACTAAAATAATCAAAGCGCCTTATCACCGAGCATTATCACTGTTTATTATCACTAGACTTTATTACAATCGGCCCACAGTATCACCGAGCATTATGAGACCAAGCATCATCACATACATGTATTAACTTTCATAGTGCTATAGCACCCCGCTCTATCACAGCTAATTCTCCATCAAAATCATACATCTCAACCAAAAGCCTACAACACAATATCACTCAAACTCCACTACAGCGTCCTACAAACAATATGACATCCTAACATGGTACCTACAACATCATTCAACACTCTTACAACAACATTCTACAATAACACCCTAACACCATACCTGAATCATTCAACACCCCTACAACAACTCAACACCCCTACAACAACTCAACACCACTACAACAACATTCTACAATAACATTCCAACACCACTTCAACAACATTCTACAAATCCATCCCAACACCACTACAACAACATCCTATAACATTTCACAACAACATCCTACGACATTCTACAACATCACAACATCCAAACACCATACCTACAGCATCATTCAACACCCCTACACCGACAACACCATTCAAAAACTCAACAACAACCAATGGCACTCTACAACAGAACAATTGATTTGCTAAGTGTTTGTAGTTTGAGTCACAGTTAAATACAGTAATACAGTTTATATATTATCATCAGTAGTAATCCACGATCATTATCAGTTACTAAAGAATACTACATGTATAATAAAAACACATGAATTATCACAAGGAATAATCACTGGACATCACCATTATATAGCCATTACGATCGTTATCTGTCTTTCCATACAAAAAACATATATCAATACGAAAAACATTTTGTGTATGAAGAATGATTTTTCTTATTTCAGAATGGTTAGCTATAAGATCGAATATTTCAACGTCAGAGGTAAAGTACCCCCAACCCAACCAATACATAGTCATCTTTCAAAGAGTTTTTGGGCAATAAACCGAGGTCCTCGACAGTGTTAAAAATCAATCAAGAGTAGTCTTATGCAAAATTTTCCGCATTGCACAATGCATGGTGTTGAACATCTTAATTGCCCGGTCAGGCACATAAATGTAACATGCGAACTCCATTTTGTATCGAATATCAATTCCATATTTTACGGTATATTGATATTTAAACTATAAACTACTTTATTGTACAGGTCGGTGTGAATCCATTAGATATTTACTGACTGACAATGATCTCAAATATACTGAAGATATGATCCAATTTGAAGAATGGAGTGAAAAATATAAGCCGAAAATGGTAAACATTTTTGTCATTATTGCTTACAAGAGCATGTCTGGTAATGGGGTAGCCTAGTCTACAAAGACCTATAGGCAGTGTTATGGTTACAGACAGAGTGGCACTGGGTGTTCCAAAAGAACAGTGATTGCTTTGCTGGCTAGGCATGTTAACACTACCGGTCCCACTCAATGTCTTACCCGTTCAGAAAGTTTACGAAGGCTACAGAATTATTTTAATTTCGTCTGGCTAACCTGACGTACTATTTTAATATCCTGATTATTCGGAAGGTTATTCAATTTAGGAGGGTTTTCTTATTTCACTTGTTCATTTATTCACTAATAATGCATTATGTTACGTAATGGTTCAAATGGTGCTGAATTTTTATTGATCGTGTTCTCTGTTTAAAGCCTTATGGTCAAGCACCTGCTGTATACGATGGTGATTTTCAGTTGGTACAGTCAAATTCTATTTTGCGATATTTAGGTCGAAAACATGGTAAGTTTACATTTATTACAGCAATTTTCAACAAGGAAACATTATCTTGTTTTCTTGGCAAAAGCTAAGTGTTTGTAGATTATACCAAATTTTACAGGCCTTAGTGAATGAATCTAGAATGTGGTGTTCTTGCCTCGGACCGAATACAACACTTTTTGATTCTTTGCCCCTCATGATAACGTTGAATTTGGTATATACATTCATGTATACCATCTTATCAGAGTTCAAACCAGACATCAATAGCTGACACTGAAATGGTCACATTTTATTTCGACCTATAATTATATTGACGCGATTATGAATAAAAAGTAATCGTCTTATCTTATCTGTGTGATTATATTGTAATGCGAAGTTTGCATAAAGAGTGGCTGATAAGAGAAAAGGGGCGAATAAATGGGGTACGATTTCCGTTTACGACGTCAAGAAGTGTGTACAATGTCAAATTTGCGCAATCCACACTAAATACTGTGAACTGTCAACGTTTGGATTGAACATCGGAATTTTCACCATTCGTGTATTAGACATATGCTTCACGTACTTTAATCTTGCTAAAGTTTCTCTCAAGGTTAACTGCATATATTGTGTGACCCACTAACATAATCATTTCCACGGTTTAGAACCAATCAATCCCCTTTAAAAATCTATCATCTTTCCTGAAGTTATGTCCAACAACAAATATAGCTTAAACGTCCACCCAATTAATAATGTATCCAATGCTAGGTGTTCTATTCCCCCGCCACATTTTTATCAAATTAACCAAAAATATGATTTATATAATGTTTTTGCCCCAAAATGTCGGTTGTCTCCCCATTGAGTCAATCTGCCCCATATTTGTACCTCCGGTCTCGGGAGACTGACGCCTTCACTGTCTCTACATGACATTATGAATAACCTGGTGATCATGTATAGTGATTTATAACATATCCCTTACACATTTTAGGCCTCTACCCGACATGTGAGAAAGAAGCCTATAAAGTTGATATGTTAAATGATGGCGTTGAAGATCTTCGTGTGTTATACATCAAACTTATCTATAACAATTACGTAAGTCTCAATTTCTGATTGTCGGGTGATCCCCAGTGGATACTTCCTGATGGTGCTTAACTGATGTGCTGGTCGTCCAAAACTTGAGAATTTGTCTATAGTAGATCTGATGGTCCGACATTGTGTATTGGAGATGAGTCGCCTGTCTAAAGAAGATGGCCAACCTGTTTAATGTGGCGTTGACACACCTTCCTATAGTGGAGATGACACATCTGAGATGATACACCTGTCTAAAGTGAATTGACCAACCTGTCTTAAGTGGAGATGGCACATCTAAAGTGGGGATGACACACCTATCTTAAGTGGAATTGACCCACCTGTCTAAAGTTGGGATGACACACCTGTCTAAAGTTGAGATGACACTGCTGTTTAAAGAGGAGATGACACATCTGAGATGACACACCTGTCTGAAGTGGAATTGATCCACCTGTCTTAAGTGGAGATGACACATCTGTCTTAAGTGGAGATGACACACCTATCTAAAATGATGACCCGCCTGTCTTAAGTGGAGATGAATCGCCTGTCTAAAGTGAGGATGACTCGCCTGCCTAACTTGGAGATGGTCCGGCTGTCTTAAGTTGAGATGACACACCTGTCTGAAGTTGAGATTACCCCCCTATCTGAACTGGAGATGGTCCGACTGTCTTAAGTTGTGATGACCCACTTGTCTAAAGCGGAGATGGACCGACTGTCTAAAGTCGAGATGACGCGCCTGTGTAAAGTCGAGTTGACGCATCTCTCGAAAGTTGTCTTACAATTCCGCGTTTTATAACAAATCTAACTCGAAGTTCCTCGAGATATTTTCTAAAACTGCTAGAAAACTCCCCGAGGACCTCTTTAACAGTTGTTATTCTATGAAATTAAGTAATAATGATGTTATATATTACAGGATGATGGAAAAGCAGATTACATAAAAGAATTACCAGCCCGATTGAAACCATTTGAGGTAATGATCCATTACAATCAGTCGTGCCTCTGTAAATGTGTAAAAAACCACGAACCACACCCATAGCTACAGGGGGCAAAGGGAAGGGGGCATATTGATTGATATATAGTGGTGATATAATCCATTTCATTTCTAAGATACTCAGCTCAGATGTGGCTTTTTTTAAATTATAAAGCGTTAAGGAAAGTTATATATGTTTTTCAGAATATTTTAAAAGTCAATGGTGCTGGTGAATCTGGGTTTGCTGCCAACAATAAGGTAGGGAATCACTCTAGCTATACATTAGCATTCGGCAAGTTGGATGACGAAATAGCAATGGCTGGTCCGTAGAGGCAATAATTTGAAAAACGTTACATGTAGGTCCTGTATACCAGCATAGTGGATTGGAAAAAAAAACCAATATGCAATTCATTAGCTTCGAAAATCTCCAAACCATCCACTCCCATCCACTTGCATCCTCACAATGTCAAGCTATTACTTAAACGCATTTCGTAATAACTTGACATTGTGAAGATGATCCCCTTGACACCGACCTTGTTATATAGAAATTATCAGACGATAATGATTACAAAAATATTTTTCTTTCAGTTGTCTTTCCTAGATTACAATTTATTTGACCTTTTGGACAACCATGTTATTCTTCATGCCGGTTGTTTGGATGATTTCCCAACATTGAAAGGTTACTACCAGAGTTTTAAAAGTCGTGCCAAACTTGCTGAATACAGAAATACTGATGCCTTTAAGTCTCGTCCAGTCAACGGCAACTCAAAACAGTAAACCGTAGTAAAAGTATTAATTGATGTGGGACTCACTTATTCCAACTATCTAATAGATGTGAAGAAAAAAAAGTAATAAAAAAAATAATTGTATTCTAAGCTATTCTGTCATCTGAATCTATTCCAGCCTCTGATAGCTATTTGAACAGATGTCAGCTGGTTTTTTACTCCATCTGATAACTGTCAAAATATCCATCAGAAGCATTTACTGTTTTTGAGGTTTATTTTTGGTTTAAACGAAAATCCAAGGTTCCTTGTGCTTGCTATTATATAACCTATGTCTTTATAAGATACAAAGCGGGTTAGAAATCTAGCAAGCGAATTGATTGATGTTGACCAAACTACCAATTGATGGTAGTGTTGCTGGTAATAGGGGGAGGTCTTTCATGAATCATCTTGATGAGGTGGAAGTGTCGATGGTTATGAAATCTAACATTTTTTTCATATATTTATTTCAATTTATAATAAGAGTTCACTGGTACATGGAAATTTTTGACATGATTTAAAAGAAAAAAAATATTGCACAGTACAGTAAGCTATATATAATATATATTCTTATAGAGAATAGCAAATCATTGATGATACAGTATTGAAAACCAAAAGTGCTCTTCTAGTGTTTGCAAATGGACAAATCAGCAAACAACTGATATCAGCTGTAGAATATAGTTGTAAATCCTAATGAAACCTACTCTTTAATCTACTTGTTTTCTTTTAAAGAAATAGAAGCATACCTCTCAGTATGAACATAAAATTTAGGTTCTGAACTTGGCCAGATGTTGTAAATTATATTCATCAGTGGACTTACCTGGTGTACTAACTAAACAGCAGAGTGCCTCTATATCTATAATTCGATAAATCCATTTATCAGATTATACAGGGATTCTTTTGAATAGTTAGTTCACCAGGCAAGTCTAATAATGAATATTAATATACTTGACTAACTATTAGAATTTGAAAATATAAATTTTATATTCATTCTGAAATGATGTATTTCTTATCTTTAATTAATATACTGAAGTATAATCACTATTTAAAAAAACAATACCCCTACTTATACTTGGAATATACAATAACAACAGAACAACATAACAAATATCACAATATTTAAATCTGATTTTGTATTTAAGTTTGGTCACTTCATTTTCCATTATATATATCTCGAGAGAGTCTAAACATCCTATTTACTTTTACATTACCTTATAGTAAGAACTATCCTTAACATACATTTAAAGGGACATGTACGCCATATTAAGGGGTTGATTTGAGTTTTGAAAATATGTCTTCAGAAGTACTGTAAAATACGAAGACTGCATAATTCCTTCAAAAATGTCTCAAATTAGAAATTTTACTCACTATTTCTATATATGTCTTTTCTATATCTTTTCTATATGACGAGTCGTCATTTTAACATTCAAATGTGGATAATTCTAGACAAGGCTCAAATTTCGATAGTTAACTTTGAACACTATTATTGATTGGCTTAAAAATTCTCGTTTCTGAGACTATGATGGGTCAAAAAGAATGGAGCACATGTCCCTTTAAGAGAAGAATTTTTCTGGCCAAAAAATCTACCAAAATATGGCAACAAGAGGGATTCTATTTTAACTTATGAGTATATTTTTTTATGGATGCAACCGTAGACATATGTGGCCTACAATAAAAGAGGTCCTTTGTTATTAAATAAAAACCATTTCCATGGAGAAAAACAGATTAACATTAAATATCACAATATAGCTGATCACAATTCTAATATTTACAAAACAACATTACCAACATCTGTAACCTAGAATAGAAATTAATAACAAAATTGGCACCATCCAGAAATATTTGAAGGATTAGTGACATCATAATAGTCTTGGAAAATTTCATTATTCCTGTGAAAAACTGGAAACAATTACAGACTACAGACCATATCCACTTTTTCATCTAATCAGCTGCAATGACTGATTTGTATGTCAGTAAAATATTTATGGTTAAGTTTAGAACCTAACACTTAAACTGTCAAACAGAGATTATATGCAGTATAATTATGTTATATTTATTCTTGCTACTAGCAGTGAAAGCTCCATTAATTACTGACAGGAACTTATAGAAAAATAGAAAACATATACATATATATAACATTAACACTTAAAATAAGTGAAAGCAGTTATAAAAGATATTACACTGTATATATAACAGATACTTATTACTAATAAAGTAAGTTTTTAACAATTACATACAGGAATAGAGTAAAAAATACAACTGTATTTCAAGTAGAAAAAAAAATACAGTTTTTCAAGAAGAAATACAAAATACAACTGAATTTCAAGTAGAAATAAAAAATACAATTGTATTTCTAGTAGAAATAAACAATAAATTTTTTTAAGAAGAAATAAAAAATAAAACTGAATTTCTAGTAGAAATAAAAAATAAAACTGAATTAATTGTAGAAATAAAAAATACAATTGTATTTCTAGTAGAAATAAAAAATAAATTTTTTTAAGAAGAAATAAAAAATAAAACTGAATTTCTAGTAGAAATAAAAAATAAAACTGAATTAATTGTAGAAATTCAAAATACAACTGTATTTCAAGTAGAAAAAAAATACAGTTTTTTCAATTAGAAATAAAAATAAAGTTTTTTTAAGAAGAAATAAAAAATACATAAAATATAAGACTTTAGTGTACAACAACTTGTAACAACAAGTTAAAAACAAAAAATAATATCAAAAACAAAGTTTAGAACTATCTATCCTGATTATCTAAGGAACATTTAAAATCTAAAATTTATGTATAAAACATAAGTACAGAAAAAATTACTTCTATTGATAAAGATCAACCGAGTAACTGTAAATATGTATTCGAGAAACCAGATTAGGACATAATCATTGCAAACATTTTTTCAGGAATCACAGTAATCTGATAAGAAAACAGAATAATAAAAGTTTTAATTGGTTGTATACATAAATATATAAATTTAATTTTCGAGGAATATAATCCGTTTTTTACAATGTAAGGTATACTGAGAAAATAGTTGAAAACAAATTGGTGTAAAGCATACAATAAACATTTTTCAAGACAATCAATAGGAATTCATTGTTTCACTAAAATTAATAAATGCCAGTATATGAAGATACTTTATGAGACCATTGTCTAAGCGATATTAAGATTCGTTGCGTATCTATTTATAGTAATGATCAAGAAAAATAGCTAGTCAGACAAGATAACATTTAACCACTAGCAGCTTTCAGAAATTTAAATTTAACAGTAATTTAATCAACTAAAATTTAAAAATGTAAAGCATATTTCTAAAATTGTAATCTGACCATAATCTAATAACTTTAGCCTTGACTTTTTGGTAAACTTCATAGTACATAAGTGACCCTCTTCACAATGTCAAGGCATTACAAATTACATCTAATACCTTGTGATCATTAGCATCTTTCCTTGTAACATGAAATGCAGTGATTAGATTAGATTGTATGCTCGTAATCCAGCCAATCAGGGCCCTCAACAGAAATACTGTTACCACTTTTAAAGGGATTGTAAAGAAGTTTTTTCTAGCCTTTTCATGTGTATCGGGACACTTTTGACTTCTACTTAGGACATTCTTTTTCTTCGTGACATGCCTGTGGTAACCAAGCTACCACAATAACATAATAATACATGTTATCTCCCCTTAAAGAAAACAGCATTTCTAACTAAAATTGCAGACTCATTCACATTTTGCTTCACTGTTGCCTTATAAAACTCTTTACTACGTCTTATATTCTGTAGTTTTAACGGAATGGAAGAGTTGTATGATATTTGTGAAAATCAGAGCGCTAAATATCCTTATTTATTATTAAATGGCCGGTTTTGGATACAGTGAGGCAAACATTTGGTAAATCAAGTTAGTTAAGTAGTAGAAGTATTACTGGAGGAGATAACATATATTATAATGTTACAAATTGTCTTCCTAGAGCTGTGTCATTTCCGGTTAACTCTTTCTGGAATTGGAACGTCCCAAATAGAAATCAAAGGTTTCCCTGATACACATAAAAAGGCTAGAAAACCTCTTTACAATCCTTTTAATACATGAATTTAAATAATTAAGTCATTATTGATGCCCATTCTGTTTAGGTATGTCTGGTAAGGGAGCTAACTCTACATTACTATCTGATTCAGGCATGCGTGTATAATATTTAACGCTTGATGGATCTATAACAGTATTTTCGCCAGTACCATTATTGCTTCGTAAAAACACAAATGATCTTTTACCATTTGCTGAAAAAATAAGGTAATTTGATTTTCCAAATTTATTTTATAATACATTAACAGGAAGATAAAAATACTAAGAAACTTCAGATCGAAACTAAGGATCATTCCCTTTTTTTACTAACTTCGGTAGGGGTCTAATGACAGCCCTGTTGAATGTTTGTCTAATTAACCTTTTGGCCTGATATACACCACTTTACAAATGCCTGCACTGAAGAGGGTAGAAAATCAATTGGTTAAAGCAGACATCATCCATGGCTGAGGACGACGGGGGAAACACGTCTAAACGTTGCATAAAACTTTAACCAGTGATTGTTGTTCCATAAAGCTGTGTCTATATATCATCCAGTTAGGTCAAAAAGTTAATTAGACAACGTCAAACTGAAGTAATAAAAAACGTTGAAAGTTCGGTCTAATTTTAATTAACTTGACTGGTATCAATATAAGAACAGTGATGCACAGTGACTATAAACACCAGGTACTATAAAAATAAAACTTTGTCTAAATCAAAACTTACCTTGATATTTGGGCATTTCTTTACCAGCAACAAACATTAACCAGTATAGCACAAAAGATAGTAAAACCATAGCAAAACAGAAGGCTAGAAAACTGACTGAGCCTAGACTGACCACCATCTGAAATTAAACAATGATCCTACTTTAATCTTAGACTTCCTTAAGTCTACTTTCTTTTAAATGGGACTGTCTTATTTTCTTAAATAGGTAAAGTCAAAAATCTAGAGAAATGTAGGCCTATCCCTAACATAATCTGAAAGTTTTAACTAAAAGTATCTTGTAGTTAACTTTAAGAACACCAAAACTAGTCTTAGGCCAAAATATTCGTAAATTGGATTACATGATCCTAGACAACAGCGATATTTTCCAATATTTTAGGGTTATTTTTGAAAGATAAAGATCTAATATTTATGATACTTACATTACCAACTATAATAGGACAGAGAGCTTCACCTAGACAAGCTGCTACCACTAAACATGTTGTTATTGATGCTAAAATAAAACAGAATTAGTATTAGTACAATATAGCTTACTGTTTTTTCTTCAAAAGTTTGGTATTTCCATGGTAACATGAGGTTTGTTTTGAGATATACCTTCTATAAAAAAAACTTTATCATTTAATAATTCTAATTTATCTAATTTCACCAGAATCTTTTCCACCAACTACTTTTTTGCAAAACCTCTTGGCATTGAACTTTTCTGGATAATCTGTAGCCATTAGCAGATTAATTGACTGGAATAATGGGGAAAAATGACTCATTGATGGTCACCAGATTTTTGCATACTGACCAAGATAAGAACTGACAACCATCATTTGATGTAACCATTCCAATTCTTTAACTGACTGTGCTACAGCCTGACTTCAATCAATGTTAGATGATATCTAGTAAACTTACATTTAATATCTATGTACTGTTCCATCATTGACATAGCTGACGGGGACATACTACTAATAAAGATACCAGCTAAACAAGTACCAAGATAAATAGCAATATTACTAGATCGAAATATAATAGTTATCAATATAGCAATAGCACAACCAATCTGAAACAAGAAAAATAGTGAATATAAATGATGTTTGGATTTGAAGAACAATAAATGTTTCTAGCGGGACTGACAAGAACTGGAAAAAAATGATGCACTAATATCCTATAATACTACATGTCAAGATAATACCTTCATATTTTTTCAACCCGCTTTCCCCTATCAGTGATGCAGGTAAGAGGGTCTGACATGGAAAAGGCGTCCAGACGTTCGGATGGGACAATAAACCAAATGTTACAGGTTGTGTACGTTAAAGATCCCTCGAAAGTTGGAAATCAAAAAGAGCAGGCTTATGCTGCCTTCCTGGCAAAGTTACCCCCATTGCACCCTTAATGGCACTACCTGTCTTCATTTGCCCACGTAGGACATAAAACTCCATTCATTTCAACAATTTCCATCACCATAAATAAGTCAGAGTTCTTTCCCTTTATTAATATCCAAACCTCTATTATATATGAATTAAGTGGGAGGTCCCAATCCAGTTCATATTTTTATGTGAATGAAATATTGTTGACAAAAAAAATAAATAAATTGGAAACAAGAGGTTTGTAAGATAAAATGTTTGATATTAATATAACACCTGAGGTTATATTTACCAGTAGAAAGCTAGTGTACATTGTGGTATATTTTTGAGGAAGAATATAATATCATAGTAATCAATCTGAATTATCAAGTGTCAATAATCATGTGTGACATAATAACAGGCTAATTTAGCATCAATATACAGAGCACATCTGTCCTTCTGACTAATTTAGCATATGCTACTTACAATATCACACAACAACATGAAAGCAGCTGTAAACTTCGCAGCTAAAAATATAGCAATCAGTCGACCAAATGCAAACAAACCCTGAAATAAAAACAGATAACATTTCAAATAACAGATTTCTTGAAGACAACAATTATGACGCATAGGGTAAATTTGGAAAGTATTTTCACTCTGACATTGCGCTTTTGTTGACAATTCCTGGCATTCCGCTTTTGTTGACAATTCTTGTCATTCTTCTTTTCTTGACAACTCCTGGCATTCTTCCTTTGTTGACAATTCCTGACATTCTGCTTCTGTTGACAATTCCTGGCATTCTGCTTTTGTTGACAATTCCTGGCATTCTGCTTTTGTTGACAATTCTTGGCATTCTGCTTTTGTTGACAATTCCTGGCATTCTTCCTTTGTTGACAATTCCTGGCATTCTTCTTTTGTTGACAATTCTTGACATTCTGCTTTTGTTGAAAATTCCTGGCATTCTCCTTTTGTTGACAATTCCTGGCATTCTTCTTTTCTTCTTTTCTTGACAATTCCTGGCATTCTGCTTTTGTTGACAATTCCTGGCATTCTTCTTTTCTTGACAATTCCTGGCATTCTTCTTTTCTTGACAATTCCTGTCATTCTTCTTTTCTTGACAATTCACAATTCCTGGCATTCTGCTTTTGTTGTAAATTCCTGGCATTCTTCTTTTCTTGACAATTCCTGGCATTCTTCTCTTGTTGACAATTCCTGGCATTCTTCTCTTGTTGACAATTATTGGCATTCTGCTTTTGTTAAAAATTCCTGGCATTCTCCTTTTGTTGACAATTCCTGGTATTCCTCTTTTCTTATTTTCTTGACAATTCCTGGCATTCTTCTTTTCTTGACAATCCTTGGCATTCTGCTTTTGTTGAAAATTCCTGGCATTCTTCTTTAGTTGACAATTCCTGGCATTCTTCTTTTCTTCTTTAGTTGACAATTCCTGGCATTCTTCTTTTCTTGACAATTCCTGGCATTCTTCTTTAGTTGACAATTCCTGGCATTCTTCTTTTCTTAGACAATTCCTGGCATTCTTCTGTTGTAGACAATTTGAGGCATTCTGCTTTTGTTTACAATTCCTGTCATTCTTCTTTTCTTGACAATTCCTGGCATTCTGCTTTTGTTGACAATTCCTGGCATTCTGCTTTTGTTGGCAATTCTATATGAATATAACTTTATGGTTTTTGGATTTTCTAAGTTGGGTACTAAAGTACCGACCTATCTAAGTACTGATCTAAGTACCGACCTATCTAAGTACTGACCTATCAAAGTATTCATACAAAAAAATGTAACATTTATAAGCTATTTTTTAATTTATTCTATTCATTGACAGGAAAAAACATATTACACTGTTAATCTAAATAGATAAGAGATAATTATTATTTTATTAATGATGTTAATGTCTAGAGTCATTATGAAGATATCATTAATATATTATTATTTATCTCTAGCTAGGTATTAAATATATAATATGAGTTCTAATGGTTCTTGATATCATGATAAATTTCCATCTTCCATATTGTGCTACACACTGTTATATTATATTGCCAAGGGTTCATGAAAACTAGTTATTATTGTGTCAACATACAAATTTGGACTTGTTTTGGCTTAGTCAAGGGCATTAACTCAAAAAATGTTCATCTCAAATGTTTCAAAATCAAATCTTCAAAGATTCTACCAATAATCGTATGAATTCCAAGTTTGGTAATTCTTTAATTGAGATCTCAATAGTTACATATTTATGACATAAAAATTAATGCTACCTACCCAAAAACAAGCATCTAAAATAGCCCCTTCATATTTTTCTATTGGTACATCACTTTCTTGAGCAAAAGTATAAATATAATTAGCATAGGATGACTGAAATTAAACGAAGTTGTTGCTAATTTCATACAGTATCATTTTGAAAAAATCTAAATTTAGTAGACACACCATGTCTTCAGTCTTTATTACAGCATTGCTCCAAAAAAGCAGAATTTACCACTAATTTTATTGGGAAGAAACAGTGAAATGTTGTTAATCAAAATTTGTTCTGTAAGGAACAGAGCCCTATCAAGATCTTACATGTACAATCTCAAACAATACTTATCTAAAAAGGGAAAATTCTGACCAATGCAGTGTGTAAATTTATATAAAACTCTATACATCTTTCATTTGTATAACTGTATCAAGATATCAGAATTCAACTAACCTGTAAGCCATCATATAAAAACAATGATACTGATGCTAACAATGCTAACATGACAACTGATTGTGGTCCAAATGCACAGCAATTTAGTCTGGACAGGATGTTACTGCTTTTTGATGCTGAAACAAATGAATAAATATAGTTCTTGTAAAATCTTAAAACTGAACTATGAAGAATAACAGACAAGGTATTTGCCAGTAACGGAGCAACAATATTTTTCACAATTTCAAAATATATGAAGATGCTGTTCATGTTATCTCTAATAGGAACACACTCAACATCATGTGGCACAAAGATGTCCTACAATAAAGGGTATAAAACCTCCTGACAATGTTTATCACATATTTTCTATTGTACTGTTCTAGTAACACTCTATGGTGGCACTAGATTGGAGAGTTCTGAACTGGTTCCATCTGTTCAAATTCTGTCCCAAATCAAACACTATAAAAGCGATTTTGTTGCATTTAAAAGTTTCCCGTCTATTTCCTTCTCTGCCATTTTGAATTCTGTCTGCACCTACTATTTTTTTCAGCACGGCCCTCTGACTTGTTTCATTGATCACTTTGTTGATTCCAAAAATTTCGAACATGCAGAACTTACCAATTGAGCTGCCCAATATATTAGGAATAGTGGACAAGAAATTTTCTTACCATCCTCATTGATAGTTGCATCCCCTAGATCTACATCTGGTATAGGTGAGACTAAACCACCAAACTTTTCTCTTACCACTAATGACAACACGACAGCAGCTATACACATCTATATATAGATATAAATAGAAATATTTAAACCATATCCTAAACGATCCAAGAACTCATTGGACCAGTCTTTAAAGGGACAGATGCAGCATTTTTGAGGGTTGATTAGTATTTGGGTTGAATATATGTAAATAGTATTCTGGACTACTAATAATTCCTAATAGACATCAAACTAGAAATTTAACTCATTCTTAATTTTTGTTCACAATTTGCGGTACCCGAAAATTGAACATCTTGTTTATATAGTCTCTGACACCAAGACATCTTCTGTGTGACATGATGACTGAGTTTACTCTTCAACATCATGATGTCATCAACTGATATTCAAAATAAAAAGTCTCTTAAAATGACGACTCAATAAAATAACTTTAACCCTTCCACATAAATGGTAGCTCCATATCCTAATAATGTATCCAGAGGTATAAGAACGACATCAGCTTAAAAAAAACTCACCTGAAGACCACCCAATATATAGAAGGCATAAGGTAGGCGTGACATGTGAGTGTAGCGAAATACTTTTCTAGGTTGTGGTGGTACAGATATAGTTCTATTGAGTCCCATAGCTATGCTTTCTACAGGTGGTTCTAGAGTAAAACCATCAACATATGGGGAACAGTCTCGGTTCAGTAAGAATGACGAAGCTATCATTGGACTAACAAATGCTCCAAAACCGTAACAACAATGCATGGCCTGAAATGAACAAAATATTTATGGCTTTTATATTTGCATCATTTCAATTTTCTGTCAGATTGGTGTGATTTATGTATTTATAGAAATAAATTATGATGTCACTAACAATTTTAAAGTGTTGAGAATCTCAGACTGGCCTCAGGTGATTCACACGACATCTCAACTTGAGGTGTTGTGCAAAGCACCAAAGGCACAATTCTGGGATTTTTCTTTGTTTTCTGGTTGTTGCCCGATATTTTTGGTCGGATTTTCTTTCAGAACTTAATTATATTTAGAACACCACTACTTGTCTGTAAAGATAATATTTTGGGGTGCAAAATGAAATATATCTGATTTCATCTAAAATTTAAAATACAATATATTTGACTTCATTTCCACAATAAAATTCAAAATGCTATTTATTTGACTTCATTTCCACAATAAAATTCAAAATGCTATTTATTTGACTTCAGTTTGACAATAAAATTCAAAATGCTATTTATTTGACTTCAGTTTGACAATAAAATTCAAAATGCTATTTATTTGACTTCAGTTTGACAATAAAATTCAAAATGCTATTTATTTGACTTCAGTTTGACAATAAAATTCAAAATGCTATTTATTTGACTTCAGTTTGACATTAAAATTCAAAATGCTATTTATTTGACTTCAGTTTGACAATAAAATTCAAAATGCTATTTATTTGACTTCAGTTTGACAATAAAATTCAAAATACAATTTATTTGATTTCATTTTTTTAATTTAAAGTGCAATATAATTGGCTTGTATTTTTCAGAAAGTAATGGTAATATTATCTGTAACAAACAGCACTGGTGCCAATAGAAAAGTAATAATAATGAAATTAAAAGATGTTTGATGTCCTAGACATGTTGGGTTTATCGATTTGTAACAATCTCCTTTTATACAATGACATTTCCATCTTGTATTTCTTGAAGATTTTCACTAATCCATGCAGGAGACAAAAGGATTATTTTTAGATTCCAACTTTAAAATTTTCTTGATTTGGCAACTTTTTTTCTCTTTGATACAAATCTTGGTATTTCTCTATTTCAGTTTATAGTCTGACTCAGTTCTGTTAAATAAAATGTATCCAGTTTTTCAGAAAATATAGATATTATACAAGCTGTTTTTGCTTCAGATTTTCATAATTCTAATAGTTTATTTCGTTTTTCTATGAGTCATGTGTTGGAAAAGTTTGCTTTGAAAAAAATGATATGTTTGAACACAGGCCACGTATTCTTGAAACGATCTTAGCGCTAGGATGTCCTAGAATCAATGTCAGAAGATAAGACATCCTAGAGCTAAGATCGTTTCAAGAATACGTGGCCAGGTATCTAGGAGATCTAATAAATATACTGCAGTTATTGTAACTGCTGTTATAAAACTCGGTTTGGATACATGTGTACTGAAATTTATAAGTTATATTGTCACTACTGTAATAAACTTAAGAAGGAACTGGACCTTGATATGATATATTATATCTTGTCACTGAAGTTATAAAATTAGGTTTGGATCTGAAGTAATAGAGTTATAAAATTAGTTTTGGATCTGGAGATCTAGATAATGTCAAGTTATATTGTCACTGAAGTTATAAAATTAGGTTTGGATCTGGAGATCTAGATAATGTCAAGTTATATTGTCACTGAAGTTATAAAATTAGGTTTGGATCTGAAGTAATAGAGTTATAAAATTAGTTTTGGATCTGGAGATCTAGATAATGTCAAGTTATATTGTCACTGAAGTTATAAAATTAGTTTTGGATCTGGAGATCTAGATAATGTCAAGTTATATTGTCACTGAAGTTATAAAATTAGTTTTGGATCTGGAGATCTAGATAATGTCAAGTTATATTGTCACTGAAGTTATAAAATTAGGTTTGGATCTGGAGATCTAGATAATGTCAAGTTATATTGTCACTGAAGTTATAAAATTAAGTTTGGATCTGAAGTAATAGAGTTATAAAATTAGTTTTGGATCTGGAGATCTAGATAATGTCAAGTTATATTGTCACTGAAGTTATGAAATTAGGTTTGGATCTGGAGATCTAGATAATGTCAAGTTATATTGTCACTGAAGTTATGAAATTAGGTTTGGATCTGGAGATCTAGATAATGTCAAGTTATATTGTCACTAAAGATATAAAATTAGGTTTGGATCTTGGGATAATGATAATGTAAAGTTATATTGTAATTACTGTTATAAAAGTGCTATTCATTCTAATGTAATATCATGTAACAACATTGACATCAATTTGACTTGAACAGAATAACATGAATAATGATTTATTAAAGCTGTATTCCCACATGGGAATTGTTTAATGAAATAGAATTGATCTATTTGTTCAAGCAAGTCAGATGAATCTGATAGTTTTTTAAGAAGTCAAATGAAATTGATAACTTAAAAAAGTCAGATGAGTGAAAAGTCGAGTGAAACTGATAATTCTTAACAAGTTAGGTGAAACTGATAATTCTTAACGAGTTAGGTGAAACTGATAATTCTTAACGAGTTAGGTGAAACTGATAATTTAACAAGTCAGGAGAAATTGATAGTTTTGATCAAGTCAGTTGAAATTACTAGTTTTTAAGAAGTCAGGTGAAATTGATAGTTTTTAAGAAGTCAGGTGAAAATGATAGTTTTTAACAAGTCAGGTGAAACTGATGACTCTAAAAAGTCAGATGAATCAGATCATTATCGATTTGTTCAAGAAGACATTCTACATGTAGAGTTTCATCCAATTCAGATAAATAATGTATCTTCTGTAGCTTATCTCTCCTAACAATAATAGAGAAACAAGGTCTTGTTAGTTTAAAGTGGAGCTGTCTTAAACAAAGTCTATTTATTTAGTATGAAATTATCATTATTTGACTTCTTTTACACATGTTCTGTGAAGGGTATGAGGGCATTGAAACGTACCCTGATGGTATTAATTCTGTGTACCAGGCAAGGCTACAAACATAGCAGAATTTGGAAGCATGCATGATGGGTTGATGTCAAAACATTTTTCCATTAGAAGAAGCTTCTAAATCAAACAGTTTTGAATTGTATTACTACGACTTAAATATATCATCAGAATGAAGATGACAAGCCTTCAGAGCTTACTATGGCATATTCAGTCTAATATGAACAAAATATACTAAAGCTAATATATGCAATAAACAAAATATTTAAGTCAATATTTTTATTATGTTACAAGAATCAATATGGTTAGTTTACTTACTAACTTGCCAAATGCTATTATCTTAGCATCTTTTTGAGAACACTGTACACATGGAATTATGTTTTGTTAAGTTAAGTACTCATTAAGTTAAAAGGTTTATTAAGTCTATAAAACTGTTCCACAGTTTGACTTTAATGTGCTAATATTTTACAGTGCTCTGGGGAAGAAGATTAAAATCCTTGACATTATCATATCAATATTCCTATTTAATGTCAGCTGACACTATATTATTGACATTTACAGTTGACAGTCAATTCTTACAAGACTGTTCTTCTCACAAACCACCAATCTATATTCATTTGTTAGAATGTACAGATATCTGATTTGATTTGGAGAGAAATTATCATGCACAAGCAGTACAAGATGAAACAAATGAAAGACAAGTATCCATATGGGTTTTAATAAAAGATTTAATCTGTTTGTTTTAAGGCAAATGGAGGACGGCACAAAGCTTTACAAAGTCAGCATTGATATGAACAGCTCTATTCAGACATTTTCATATTGTACACTTTTCAAGGAATGTTTACAATATTTACTGTAATTAGCATCAAATATATAATAGATGCATTACCCAAATGGTATTTAATGAATATCTTTGATGTGCCACTAACTGTTCAAATGAACTTTGTTTTTTTATCCGTTCTTGAAACTAAATGTTAACAGTACAACAATAAGCAACAATAATTCGTAATTCCCTGTTATCTTTTGTACTATGTTTAAATTAACTAAAAGGTTACTACGTTTTAGGATATTTAATCTGTTTCTATATCCGCTACCAATTTTCTCTTTTCATCATACAGCATAATAAACATTACGTTATAAATAAACACTATGTTATTACTATACACATTTTATTTAGACACTATGTTATAATTAAACACTATGTTATAAATAAAATCTACACACTATGTTATAAATAAATACTACAGTATTAACACTACATTGTAAACAAAAACTACACAATATGTTATTAATTAATGCTACGTTATAAATAAACAATACACTACATTATAAATAAACACTACACTACGTTATAAATAAACACTACACTACGTTGTAAATAAACACTTTAAAAATGTTATAAATAAACAGAATGTTATAAATAAACACAACGTTATAAATATAAACTACACACTATGTTATAAATTAACACTACATTATAAATAACTAGTCAAATTACACTAATTATAATGCTCTGTCTAGATGTATTTTATTGTCTTTAATTTAAGGTTGCGCTTTTTTAATATCACCAAAAGTGACATACACATTATGGAATGTTTTCTAATGTTGTAGAAAATGGTCAGGAAACTGATATCCACTAGAGAAGATTAAAGGAAAATTTGAAAACAGTCTCTTAATGAAGATGGCCTCTGAAACAGTGTGGTGAACTGGTTTCTTGAGTTGATGTGATCTATTATGCTAAAGAAGCTTTAAGTAACTTTTGTACTATAATCTCTTATTAGTTAATTACTCATTTAGTAATTATAGTTAATTAACTAAAGGCTTTGATGTTTGTGTTGTTTTTCTAATGAAAGTGTTCATCTTACAAATTTTGGACCAATTATAAATGAGAGTGTCTGTGATAGAATGACAGCTTTCATTCCAGGTTGGTTTGTAGATGACAAGATAGCGTCTGAAAGAACTTGATGTAATGCCATATTCAAATTTTTTTCATTTCCAATCTCTATTGAATGTTAACATTTGTAACCTCCATGGGATTGGGATTGGGATTTTAACATTTGTAACCTCCATGGGATTGGGATTTTAACATTTGTAACCTCCATGGGACTGGGATTTTAACATTTGCAACCTCCATGGGATTAGGATTTTAACATTTGTAACTTCCATAGGACTTAGATTTTAACATTTGTAATCTCCATGGGACTGGGATTGTAACATTTGTAACCTCCATGGGACCGGGATTTTAACATTGTAACCTCCAGGGGATTAAAGGGTCATGACTGAATGGACCTACCTGTAGAAATGGTGAAACGTTTTTTCCAAAGAGAAGAATCATTCTCAGATTGGCAAGACAATCCAAACATCCCATACACCATCCCATAAGCATTAAAACTATTAACAACGCAGCAAAACTGGTACAGGATGGAATAAGCATCATGGAGATGGACACACCCACTGCTGCTATTAATAGTAACATGTGATTGTAGATTCTGAAATGACAAACACATAAAATTTAGGTAAGCAAGGAACAGAACCAAAAATGGATTAGATGATCTTGTAGTTGTTCTATCTGATGTCAATTCCAACTGATTTTTTTTAATGTTAAGAATCATAATTTGACAAACAAAAATCGAAACTTAAACAGATATATCACAAATATTTTAAAGTCAATGGTTTCAATGGGTGTTGATTTGGATTTTGCATAGATATAAATAGCCTGCAGAAGTACTAGAACTGCACAAAAATCACATAATTCCTTTGAATATACTTCAAACTAGAAATTTAACTTTCTATTTCTATATACTTTTCTATTTATGGCTATCAAACTGTCCAGATAATTCTGGATGTAAAGCCTACAGTTTGACGGTGAACTGTGATCACTATTGCTGATTAGCTTAACTAAAAAATTCTTGTTTCTGAGACACTAGTACGATTGGTCAAATGGATGGTGAATCTGTCCCTTTAACATAAAATATATCCTTCATTATACTAATCTAATACAATAATACAAAAAAGGAAAGAATACCAGAGAATGAAAATAAAAAATTCAGAATCCATTAATTGCATTTCAAAAAAAATAATTACAGGAAGATATCCTTTCCATTTGGCCAGGAAGAGAAAACAGAATATTACTATTCATCTTCATGAATTTCAATTCTATCTTTCAGAGAATGATAAAAGTGCCATTTTTTTTACATGATAATGTCAGATAAGGTGAAGAATACAAGTCAGAGTGAAGTAGGCTTCAATGACAAGATTTATGGCAAATTTTAATCAGAAATAGCTAGAGGGTGGGAAACCTTTAACTAGAAAATGTAGAAACAGTCTTGTGACAGGATATCAGACTTCCGAGAGAATTGAATAGAAGCTATGTGAGCTACTGTTATTCTTCCGCCATTCAATCCTCAATCAATATACATTTAATTCAGCCCAAGTCACATTTAACTTTGGTTGGTATAATAGACCATAACACCTCAAATATACTTAAATAACTATTTGTTCTACATTAAAAATGAAATTGAGATTTACATGCTACATTCAGTATGCATGAGGAAAGTTTTTATACAGAGACATAAGCCTACTCAATTTGGATTCCCAACTGTAATGGGATCTTTAATGTGCACAGCCTGAAGCACATAGATCCTCACTTTAATGTCTCATACAAACAAACTCTTGGCTGCCTTGGCTACATTTGATACCATCATCTCATAAAACATGCATTTTTATTCCTGCATTTAGTAGGACTTACAAGAAATTGCTGGTGTATAAAAGCCAAATGATTTTTTCAAATAGCAACATATTTCAATGAGTCAAAATCTCATATCAAAGAGATATGGTCATTTTAATATTTTACAAGACGAATGCTCAAAGTCCAGTTCTGATATAAATCTGAGAAATTAGGCATTCTTCATCAACCGCAACGTCCATTAGTCTTATTACATAAATAATCAAAACAGCAGTTAATACTAAACAATACAACCATTTTAAAATTAAGACAAGCTTTTAACAAGAACAGTGTAAATACTCAGATGTGTAATGGACCATAATTTTACAAACTTCAACATGGAATTTTTAGTCATTGATTTTATTGTATTCATACAATTCAAATTTCTGAACCACATTTTCTTACACAAGAAAATTACCACACACTTATACCTTTTATACTTGATACTATAATATAGAGAGTGAATCATACAATAAAGACAATGACAAGAAAAGAAAAGATTATTTGTAGTTCATTTGATCCAAAAGGCATCTAGTCATTCAATCATTTGAATTTATACTTTACATCAGCTCCGTAATTTCTTATCAGAGTTAATATTTGAAACCAAACAATAGCTTTAACTGAGAGAAAAGATGACAAGTCAGTCTATTTTCAACAATGCTTTTATCTACAGGAATTGTTTTGGAGACAAAGTTGCTTCCATGAGATGTCTGTGCTTTGCTTTCAGAAACCTTGACCTTTATTTAGAACATTTATGTAATTTCAGAAACCTTGACCTTTAATTGTAAGATTTATGTAATTTCAGTAAAACTTCAAAAAATATGATATCACTCTCACTAGTCTCACAAATACGGCTGAACTAGAAATTATATCTAGACTAGTGACTTATACTCTTAAACTTGTTTGAAATAAGGCCTACATTATAAACCATTGTCAGACAGGAAATACAACTGTGTTTCAAATGCAAATAAAAAGCTACAAAATCAGATTTTTATTTATAGAGCTCCCAATAAATTTTAAATTCTGTCAGATGGAACATTTAAAGAGGATTATAGAGAAATCATTAATGTGTCTGAAACATGAGTGCTTCAATACTTCCAGCTGTGAATTTAGTCAATATATAAGAAAACTGAAATTCATTGAAACTCGTTTAAAAAAATATTTGGTTCTGATGTAGGCCTATATTAATCCTAAGTCTAACATACAATACTGGCATAAAAGACAGGTGAAAAGATTAAGAATTCAAGTCAATCCAGCTGTAAGTGAGCACAGATAATCAGAGAGAGATCAAATGCCAAGACCATTGGCCAAAGACCAGCTGGTAGACAGAATCTTCATGAACCTAAGTTGTAAAAAATTGATCATTTTTTCTTTCTTTTTTGTTCAAAGCTCGACAAGTTTATTTCTAAATCTAGAAAGAATATTGGCCAAACTGTTAGGTATTCTCTTTGAGGACTATAATGCATTTGCTTGATTGATAAATGAACTATTCCTGATGAAACTCTAGTTAATGAAGTGAAATATACGTGAAAACCACTCTAAGATATTTCCTCGGCCTCTGCTTCATAAAATCATTACCTATCAATATCCATGCAGTTCAGACTTAGTCATTAGAGTGTTAGTTAAATAATGTAATATCTTTGAACCAGAAAATCTTGACTGAGAAAATAATAGGCCTACTTTTAATTATGTACGTTCCATTTAATACTAATGAATGGTAATTGATATTAAAAATTAAATACCTTTGAAGTATTTCTATAGATAGTCTTAGACCTTTTTCACAACATCAGGTGAAGCTATTTAAACCAGACTGTGTGGATTAAAGATCCCCTCAAAGTTAAATTGAAAACAAAAATTGGCCCCTCTTGCAATACTTTCCCATTTCCACACTGCACACCTTAAGGAGGGTAGATCCAGCATTTCAGGGAGTAAATTATACCTTGGTCTCTATCTATCCATTGATGGCTTCATGTAGTATAAATTTCAAAATAATTTCATCTCCTACTCTTTATAGATTGTTACCATCAATATTTAACTCTACATTCATAACAATGATATAATCTAAGCACTTTTATAAAACGATTTCTGGCAAGAAAACAGGGCTTCCTTAACAATTTTTGGGGTAAAAATCTACATTTAATCCTTGCTGAGAAGTTTCCTTAATTTAAAATGGAAAAGCAGATAAATCCATTAGTCAAATTACAAATTCAAAGGTTCTATTGTTCTGATCAAGGTTGTCTGATGAAAGCTAGTTGCGCTTGGATACATGTGACATTAATCTGAATGGACAGACACAATTTTAAAAGTAGTAGGGGTAAAACTTGACACACAGAGAGCCTGGGGTCGTATTTTTGAAAACAAATATAAAATTCAGATGACTGGAACACTAAAATCATCTTAAAGGGGCATTCCGCATTTTTGCAAAATATTTTTATTATCAAAACGTTGTTAATTATACTTGAAAATATTTCTAAAATATGTTATTTATATCTATGTCATTCTATGTATCTACTTAATCAAACTGAATTTGTTTAGAAGTTTTTGACAATAAGGTCCTGAATCTGCTTCATAAGTTATGATAATTATCAGTTATCAGTAGCAGATGTCAATAAAATGCATTGATATTCAATTTGATATTCAACAATGCAGTATATTTACATTTTGAGCAGAAACCTTTCTTGTTGAAGAAAATTGATCAATTACATGTAAATAGTTATACAACTATCATTGTCAATTGACACTCAACATGTCATCTCTTCTCTAAAATCTTTTTATATCTCAATTAGAAATCCACTTTCTAACAATTTATCATTATTTGTGTTTTTCAAGCACTTGATCGGATGAACAAACTTTTTTGCCCATGCATTTAATACTCCACTAATAATACATTTGGAATTGCTTCTTTCATTTCTCATCATTAAGTTTAACCCTTTTAATACTAGCACGCACTCTACAGGTCACATAATTACGGTAAATATTTAAAGGGCTAGGTGCGCCACTTTGTAAATAGTCTTCAGAAGTACTAAAATGTATGGAAATCGCATAATTCCTTCAAAAATTTTTCAAACTATAGGAATCTCTTTTCTTATTTCTATAGATGTCCTTTCTTATTGCTATAGATGTCTTTTCTTATTTCTGTTTCTATAGATGTCTTTTCTTATTTCTATAGATGTCTTTTCTTATTTCTATAGATGTCTTTTCTTTCTATAGATGTCTTTTCTTATTTCTATAGATGTCTTTTCTTATTTCTATAGATGTCTTTTATTTCTATAGATGTCTTTTCTTATTTCTATAGATGTCTTTTCTTATTTCTATAGATGTCTTTTCTATATCACTCTACAATTGTTGTATTGGGCACTATTTTAAAAGTGAAAATATTTTATTATTGTATTTCTATATATCACAGAGTATACTAAAATTCAAGGATACATCTAACATTCATCTAACATTCATCTAACATTCAAACGCAGAAAAGTCTGGACTCACATGGATTTTAAGGCTCAAATTTCGAGAGTGAGCTGTGAACACTATTACTGATTGGCTTGGCTAAAATATTCCCAGTTCTGAGACTAAAGTATGATTGGTAAAAAAAATGGTGCATCTGTCCCTTTAAGCAACCAGTGAAGCTGTTTTCACCTAGTGATGTCACATGAAATTGACATCATACACGTTAAGTCTTATTACTAATAGTACAGCACAAATGATGTTCTATTTAATTACAATTCAGTGTTCAAAGGATTAACAATTGCAATTGAACAACCATAATAGTAAGTTGATGGTACAATTGACCTTTGAATATGAATGAGAAATTGAGATGATTAGACTAACCTATGAATATTATGGTACATTTAACCAATAAACTGTTAAACTATGGCGATTAGGGTTGTATGTCATGAAAAAGGTTGGCTGGCCATCGAAATTTAAGCCATGTGTGCTTATGTGTGTTCAAAATTATCTGTGTTTAAAAGTTAAAAATGACGTCTCGTCTTTCCTCAAGACTCTGACAAAAATAGAAAAGACATATATATAGAAATAGAAAGTGAAATTCCTAGTTTGAGGTATATCTCTAGCCGTCATATCACTATCAGAGAGAAATATCATGCAATTGGCATTTTCTGTATGAGTTATAATGTTTCTATCTATTCCCTAATGATGTTAAACAAGTATCATTATCACCTTCAACGCCATACAGAGTTAATATTTCCTTTAATAACATTCTATAATGACTGTACTTTTACATCATCAATTACATCATTCAATACATCTTACAATTATAATTCATCAACCCAAACTATGACAAGGTTTGAGATTTGTCTAGGTCTTCAGTTGTCAACAGACTTCTGCCAGTTTGTGATCACCAAGAATCGTCTCTCTCTGTTTATAACAATAATTCTTTGCAATGTTTTTTAAATGTCTAATGTCTTACTAACTTACTTACTTACTTACTTTCAAATGCATTGTAAAATTTTGTAGATATATTACATTGGGTAGCGACTAGCGAGTGAACAAATGACACATTTGTCAGCAAAAGAGTTAACCTTTAGTGACCATATAGCTGTAATTGCTTCAAGAACCAAAACAGCTTTACTAGTTCTAACCTTATTTTTTATTCTTTGTTGTGTGAAGGGACAGATGCACCATTTTCTTTACCAATCATATTTAAGTCTCAGAAACAGGAATCTTTTTGCAAGGCCAATCGTGTTCACAGCTAACCTAATTGAGCCTTCAAATCCATGTGTGTTGTCAATTTAAGATATGTGCTATATAGAAAAGACATATATAGAAATAATAAAATAATAATAATAATTTCTAGTTTGAAGTATTCTTAAAGGAATTATGCGATTTGCATACATTTCTAGTTCTTTTGAAGACTATTTACAAATATTCCAGACTTTTATTCCTTAAAAAAAAGGACAGACTTTCCTTCCTTTTTATTCATTTAAATGTTTGCATAAATTCCTTAAAAATACGACTTGACGTCATCCATGTTTATCAAGATATTCACAATGGCTTCCGTCAACATTCTTCAACCTTAGAAATAATGATTGTAGAATAGTAAATCTTCTTATCTTTTGACATTAAGCCAGTGAATTTTGATTGGTTAATTATAGGATTACAAGGCAAGACAGACTTCTCTAAACAAATATGTCGTGTTCTATTAGTGATAAATAGAGATTAGTTACGCCGTATTTTCACAGGACGCCATTGATTAGTGGTTTTATGTCAAGGTATCAAATGCTTCTCAGACACAAGATGATTTTTTTCATTCCAAGAACCTAATTAGAGATAAATATTCTACATTCTTTGAGTAAAAATTTCCCACATCTTTAACCAACTGGAACCATCAAAGTCTGAGAATGAATGCTTGATATGATCAAATGGATGCTTGTTATGATCAAATGGATGTTTGTTATGATAAGCTTGTTATGATCAAATGGAAGCTTGTTATGATCAGATGGATGTTTGTTATGATAAGCTTGTTATGATCAAATGGAAGCTTGTTATGATCAAATGGATGCTTGTTATGATCAAATGGATGTTTGTTATGATAAGCTTGTTATGATCAAATGGAAGCTTGTTATGATCAGATGGATGCATGTTATGATCAGATGGATGCATGATATGATTAATTTGATGCTTGTTATGATTAATTTGATGCTTGTTATGATCAAATGGAAGCTTCTCATTAAAGTCTCTGATTAGAGCTGAAAATGGCATCCTATACTTTTCACTGTGAAAATATATCAACTGGTTTCTGTTTCAAAGAAAGTAGAGAACAACCTTTATGTGTTTAAGGAGTAACGTAAGTGTATTTTTTGTTAAAGGTTATTACTTTCTTATGAAATATGAAGAAATAACACATATAGATCTATAGATAATAATATACTATAAACTATAGACCTTACTAATCAATAAAAAATATCAAAATAACCAGTTTTTATTCACATGATGTGTACTTTAATGGTTCTCCATTATCATCACATCTCTAGGGAGATTCATTTAGAAATACAAAACTCAGTCATTGGGAAATACTCTTGTCTTAAATTCCATCAACTAATAGCTAAAATAGAAAGCTAGTCTCCATCCCTTATTTGTCTTGTTCTTTGAGGTGTGAAAACCAAAAATAATGATTGGATAAAATAATCTAATGGTTGAACAATACTAGAGGTGTGCATGACTCAAACCTTGAAAAAGAATGTCTGTTAATTATTTATTGTTGCTCTGGACCTCATTGGATTCTGGAGACAAAGATGTATCAAAGACAAAGATATAGGATAATAATGGACTAGTGAAGTTTCTACATGATTCAGGAAGCAGGCAAAACCCACCAGAAATGAGGCTAACCCTACCCTCAAATTTATTATCATTGAGTTCTTGGTGACTGGTGACAATTGACAATTTTGTGGTTCCATCAGGGTGAAATTTGCCATTCCTGTTATATTTCAAAGGTTTATTTATAAATACCTGACTACAGGTCACTACTATTAAGAAAAAGCATTTATTTTGGCAATTGTTTCACTTTCTTTGCGTAAACTCAGCAAATCATAGCAGAACCTTAACAATGTCCTTGAAAATTCAATACTCCAGGTTTTGTTTTTAGTATTTCTCAAATATGGCATAGGAATAACTTGATAACAAACAGGAAAAGTATGCACATCTCTAATAGATCGATCAATAAAGTAACATTGTTATTTTGATTGGAAAACAAGCTTTACGACTACAAACAAATCCTCCATTACATGAAAAATTCAACTGATATGCTTTAACAATTATTATCAATAATCAATACTTTATCTCAAAATCCATTTGCAGATATCTAATAAATATACCAGATAAACAATATTAGCTATATAGACTGAAAGGGATGACCAATTGCAGAGTGGCATCATTGTTCTGGAATAGGGAGCATGTCCTGTCGT